TATTACGGTAATGTGGGCTAGTGTTTGCCCTTGTGTGGTGGGATTATTAGTTAGACATGGGTCAAGAGGCAATAAAATTAAGTATAAACATATGTATATTGTTATGAGCTTTAAGCTATTTATGATAAGCAATTGTAGTTTCATGTTACAATTTGCAGTCATTCTACAAAGGAAAAAGGAGTAATTTAGATTTATTTCGTATTTTTTTAATGTTGATTACGAGATCAGTCAAATCGACCAAATTAAGAGTTAGGGTAGAGAAAACCGATAAAATATATATTTATTGCTTCTTGAACTGTGTATAATTAATCCTGTGATATAAGTTGTAAATCACTCAACAAATGTGCAGCTCATGTTATTGTATCACAGGTGACTCGTGAGCATACTTCATTAAAAATTATTATTTTTCTTTATTTTACCCAATCTAACCTAGTAAGTTTCTAGTTTTTACATTTTTTGTTACTTTTACAATAATAAATAAAGAATACACACACACAAAAAACAAATATAGTACTTACTTGAATCCTTTACTGTTGACTTTTGATGAAACTTAACCCTACTTTTTATATTAATAGTACTACTGCAATAAAAAATATTTTAATTAGTTAAATAATGCACCTAAGAAGACTGAGTAATAACATGTAAAAAGCAGACAATGCCCACTAGCTATCATAATTTTTCTGGCTTTCTAACTATGTAATAAGAACCATTAAAATATCAACTAAGTTTTATTTTCGATGATGAGGAACCCACTTTGAGACTAATAATGGCTGGAGACGGCTTAAATGGGTAATGAAGAAAAACTTTAATATAATGACACTGATGATGACAAAACCTTGTCGAAACATTGTACATTTGCTGTCATGTTAAACTTATATTAAAGTTTTTCTTCATTACCCATTTAAGCCGTCTCCAGCCATTATATATCAACTAAGTTTGTTGATGTATTTTCCATGGGAATAAAGTTTGAACTGGAAGTAAAATAATACAATTGCCTGTACAGCAAAAATGTAATATAATACATCATTTGATAAATTAAAAATTTGGCTTTCTATTGGTTATAAACAATATAGTATTAAATGCCAGAGTAAAACTATTGGTAGGGGCCAGATTTTCTAGTTTATGGCTTTAAAACCAAATAAGATTGAAGGTTACAAAAATTATGCTTTTCCTGAGTAAAAACTATATTATAATAAATAACTTATGTTTAGCTCTATACTTCTTGGAGAGTTGATAAATAAGTTAGAGAAAAAGCAAATGTCACAGTTTTCCAACAAGGGAATATTATGGATTTTTTAAAATATCTCTTTATAAAATTATGAACTTAAAACTTAAATAATGTTTGTGGTAATTAATACCCCTCCCATACACACACAAACACATACATATGCCATTTTAAAAGAAGGACAGCTGTGCTAAATATTAAAAAATATGGGAGATAGTACTTACCTATTAGTGAGAAAGGTGTATCTGTAGCAAAGCAATATCCAACTAGGGCTTTATAAATGACTTACAACATCAGATAGAAGAGGAGGTCTTCCTTTAATAGTTTGTGAGGTAAGTCTTCATCCAGTAATATGTGAACTAAGAAAAGGCACCAGTTTTGACATGCCAGGATTTACCAGCAGTAAGATTTACTTTAAATTGTGGAAGTTTTTATATATTTTTCTGATAAATTTCTCAAGCCCATACAGGATACATTCCATGACTCTCTAGTTAGTAGATGTGCCCTCCGAGTTTGAGAAATGCTGATCTAGAAGATGGCAAAGCAGAATCAAAACCTTCATTGTTGAGAAATGTTAAAATAGTTATTAAGTTGAATGGAAGTAGTTTGTAAATTAACTTCTTTAAGCTTCAGAGTAATGAAATTAAGCAGCTTTCGTGTGTGGTAAACAGAAAAGAAACCCTCACAGTACACACAAAGTGGAACATATTTTGATACAGTAATAAATAAGTGATATGTTATAAATTCACACTAAAAAAGGTTATACATAGTAGCTGCTAGTGTGCAATTTCTAAGTTTATAATCATCCCATTATTGTGATAATTGCTTTTATTTTGATGTTTTTCCTTTTATGTAATTTTTCGTGTTAAACAGACTTGATTTGGAGGCATTGAATAAAAAATGACAGTTTTGTTTTATCCATTTAATTAAGTATAAAAATTAGTTACTGACCAGTTTTATTTATATGAAACCAAGGAATATGAGTATGATGTAATAAATTGATACATTTGATTGTTATCTAAAGGTTTTTGATAAATTACATTTCCGCTATAAAACTAAATTCAAGTTGAAACACAGTTTTATTATAGTACAAAATCCTGAATATAGTTTTCTTCAACAGTAACTTTGGAATGAGCAGAGTTTGTAAAATATAAAAGTTAGAAATATTATCTTCAATGGTGCAATGGGTAAAAAATAGTATACTTTAACAACACAAAAGTATTTTGCTAGGTTTTAAAAAATGACTATTGCAGGTCTGAAATTAATTAAAATAAGATGAAGAATTGTAGATCTGGTTTCAAAAATGGAAGTTGAAAGGTAATCTGAGAACTAAAATTGGCTGTAAAGTATTTAAGGTAAAGAAATAATGTTACAAATACACAGGTTAATTATGTTCTATCTAAACTATTTTGGAGCTTCAACATTTCATCATAGTCCATGCCACCACATGTGGTCATACTGTAGCTTACAACCATGAATCTTGACAATAACTCTGTAGTATCCATTTTAAAGGACTGTGTAAGACTGCCTTGTCCAAAGCACATAGTGCCTTTCTGCCTACTTAACATAATTAATTTATTATATGAGGATTACAGTTTCCCACTTCCTGTTTCAACAGCCTAGTCACACTTAAATTCATTAGCACTATATGGGGAGACTTAATTAGTGTGTCTTCATAAGGATCAGTTATTTAAGGTATGTAATGATTGAATGGATGTCATGTAAGCAGCTTGTGTATATGTCTTGGTTATATTGTGTACCGTTGTCTAAGACATGTGAATGGCTTTTGTGATTGTTCTTTATGTTTGGATACTCACCTGTTATGAGGTGCCACACTTTGCTTACCACAGCTGGGATATGAAAAATCTCATTCTGTATTTGAGACATGAGCTTTTTCCATGAATTTTCATTTACATACACTGTGTACCTTTATTTAACAATGGTGATTAACTGATAAGGATTTCTTACATTTTCGGAAAGCAATCTCTGTGGATGAACCAATCAGAACACAAAATAACTGGGAGTGCATTCTGCCAACTAGTTGGCTGTTTCCTTCAGCAGACGTGTTTCCCCAACTGATGCCATTGTTGTTCTTCTGAACATGTAAGACTGGCCCACTGGTACAAAGGTTAACTGTTAAATTCTTGAATTGCTCTTCTGAACATGTAAGACTGGCCCACTGGTACAAAGGTTAACTGTTAAATTCTTGAATTGCTCTTATATATTGAATGACAATATTAATGACTGTGAGCCAGTTGTCAATCAAGGTTGTCAAGAGGAAAGATGCATACATGATGCAGAAAATGGATGCATCAAGAACAAATGGAATTGAGCTTGGCTCGAGGAGAACGTTGTTATTGATATAAACAAAATATTGTCTGAATTGGATGGGAAGGGTGGCCCCATTGAGAGTATTCTGGAGGACTTCATTAAAAAGGTATGTTTATCTACAAAATAAAAGGTCAACCAACTAGATACTTTGTAAGACCATAAAACATTTCATAACATAAACAACACTAGTGCAGTAGTGAACCACACGTTAAAAATGTACATGGACTTAGAAATTGTGAACTGGAAGCACTTCTAAAATATTCCCAGAGGAAAAGTAATGATTAATGCCTATGTATTTAAAAAACAAGCTCTGCAGTAAGTAAAATCAATTCTTTTATTTTTCAAAGAAAATCAGAAATTACAGATAGTGGTCTTGAGCAATGTTTATGATATACAGAGATACATCTTTGAGAGTTTGTAATATTTAAACCTTGTGTCTCTAATTTTTATGCAGGCTTAAGTAACATGTCAGCTTTCAAGGAACAGATGAAGTTGTGTGAAAAACTACGAGCAAAATTTACAACAAGGCTGGCACATCATCTTAATAATCTTTTTGTGCACTTAGTAAGTATTAAGTCATTTATAAAATCATTTGAAATTATTTATTTCTATGGTATTAACCCTTTCACAAAGTGTAGGCCAAAATGCACATCTCATAACCTTTTGCAGAGTTATATGAATAATGTAATTAAACTACTTTATTAACAATATCTGTGAATAAAACATAGTTAATAAATCAAACTTTAATATTATATAAGTTAGAAGTTCTTGATTTTATAAGGAAATATTTAAAAAAAATCATCAATCTCCCCTAGTATGAGAATTGTGACATTTGCTCTCTAGGTCTTCCCTCTTTAATTTTTTTACCATCCCTCTGAGGAGTACAGAATTTAATATAAATTACTTATTGTAATACAGATATTACTCTGGCAAAGCACAATTTTTGTAGCTTTAGTCTTGTTTGTTTATGGAGCTATAAACTAGAAAATCAAACCCACTTACCATGCCTACTTGTCACATTCTCTCTTTCACAAATTGCCAATAGTTTTCTTTGATGTTTTATAGTATATTATTTATAACCAATAGGAAGCCAAAGTTTTGATATATCAAGTGACATAGTATATTATGTTGTTTTCTGTACATGGTATTGTCTATTTCACTGTTCAGTTTGAAATTTTTTCTCATGGGCATTACATCGACGAACTAAGCTGACTTTTTAAAAGCTCTTATCACACAGTGTGAAAGGCAAAAAAATTATGATAATTATAGGACATTTTTTTATTTTTGCTTGTTATTATTCTGTGTTCTTAGATTTATTATTTGATTAAATAAAAAATTATTTGATGTAGTAGTACCATTAATGTATTAAAAAAAAGTAGGCTTAAATTTCATCAATAGTCAACAGCAAAAATAAGACCCAGGTCAGTGATGTATTTCTTGTTTTTTACATGTATTCTTAATTTAATATTATAAAAGTAACTAAAATGTAAAAATTAGAAACTTATTAACTCTCTCAACATGGGATCAGTCAATTTGACCAAGTCACATGACCTTTCATACACTGAGCCAAGTTTCTCCAACTATGCTGTAGCTACAAAGCTTTAAGAGATACCCTGAACTTTATATAACACAAAGGCTACAGAGAACCTTGTGGCCTGTACTTGTTGCCACATTCAAGTTGAGATGTTCAGCACTGATGTTAATTCTATATCGTTTGTTATGCTCAGAGAAAGAACCAGCAGAGGCAGAGTAAGCCCAACCAAAATACTGTGGGACTTTCTTTCCAAAGCATGGTCCTGAATATCATTGAAGACTCAAAGAAGTTATTGATACATACTCATTGCCATAGACTACTTCAAGAAGTCTGTAAAAGCTTATCCACTGGTTGATA